CGATAGACGACAAAACACTTGCGAGTAAATCACCAAGTTCGGCGAACAGATCGATTTCCACCTGATCTACAGCTAATTAATGCACCCGAACTACCAAAGCTTCGATATACTGCTTACAGCTGGGATTCGCGTATTATGAGTTATTGTGTGGGACAAGCGGGCTGTCGGAGAATAGCAATGAAAGACGGAAAGCGTCAAGGGTGTTCCGTTTTTTTCTTCTCGGTCACGAAGTTATCATTACCTGCCTGCAGCTGCGGCTCAGTAACTGAGGTGGTGAACACCTGAGCCTCTAGAGTGATCGAGCACGCAGATGATTCTAGAACCACTGGTCACCAGTCGCACAAGTGACATGTGATATTTCAGCTCTAGAAACACACAGAAAGCGGGACAAACTGGTGTAAGTAGTTGGTTAATTCCAATTATACTCGGATGAATTCAACTTGACACCCCGAATGTTTCAGTAACGGCATTTGCTTTGGAGACCTAAAAAATTCGAATAAAATCAGAACGAGCAAAACACCTATCCCGCTACCCTCCCCCCTTAAATAAACTGCAACCAAGAAGTTGCCCAGTGGGTTTCAAGCCTGTGTCACGCTACTTTACTGGCGAGTCAAACGATCGTCAACCAGGACAGTTAGTGGCTCGTCGTTCGATGAGTCGGGCACACCAAGCGCATCGCCCAAGTGTGAACACGTTCGCCTGTTCAGATGTAAAAATTCAGATTAGTCCAACGTGCGTTGGTGGAGTGGTGCTTACACGCTCGCATCGCGTGTCAGGTGTCCGGGGTTCAAATCCCGGTGCGGCCATTGGATATGCACTGCTGGTGAGCTCTAATAGGAGCGAAACTCAAGTTTAGTGCTTCCCTTTGGTGTGGACTCACCGGAATAATTACGCCAGAACAGGAGGACGACCGTTCAAACGAGAATGGTGTGACTATGAACAAAATGAAAATGGTCCTCAAGCTGTTGTACGATGTTTTTCAGCAACACCAGTGTTTAGATTGGACTTACCGATAGCCAGTGACTGATTGGCTGAAAGAGGGACATCAATTCTTCGGTTGTGGCATTCAAGGGTGCTCCGGTTAACATTACAGTAGAAGCTGGATTCACTATCCCTCCAACTGTTGTCCAGGACGTTGTTCTCGCGGGTTCGCTACCACCCACTGACGACAGGTTTGCAGTCGGATTGAAATGGTTCTGTTGAAGCTGATAGAAAAGCTGGCCCGGGCCTCCAGGCAACAGCTGAGTTCCAGGTGAGGCCAATGATCGATATCCACCTGCCATCGCCGATTGAAGTGCTGTTCCGGCGATTGCGGCAGACAGTGATGGTTGAGGCTTTGTTACGGACTTGTGTGCGTTCATCAGAGTTGTCTGGCATAGTAAGTCTTAAGATGGAGAATGGGGAAGTAAAAAGCATATGTGTTTTACAAACGCGTAACTCAGAAACCTAATATCTGCAACTCTGCAGTCGACTTCGCTATTCTGGACTAAACCGTTGAATGTTTGCTACAACTGTACACCTAGAAGTTCGTGACTGACTTAATCCAGCTGTTCTTCTCAGGTGGTACGGAAGTTGGAATTCCAGCTAGTGGAAGAGTTTTCACGCAACTTATCACTAAAGATTTTATAGGTGAGGCCTGCAGCGCACTTCTTGAGCACGTATCAATTTTTGATGGTCGAAATGTTTTCCGATTCATGAGTAAGCGGTAGGAGGATGCGGTCGAAAGCTGCTAGAACAGCAGTTGAGTTAGAAAGGACCGAAAAAACTGGTGTCGAAATCTAAATGTATGGGAAAGTATAACGTAAATGCAATCGTCACCTATGTAATTGAATCGGTTCCTATGACTTGCACCAAGGTTGTCGAACACTTTGTGGTGAAATTAAATACCAATCCCTGTCTCCCATCGGCGTTTCCCTTTTGGTGAAAAAAACCGAATGTAACTTCCCGAATGGTAACGAAACTTTTGCTGGCCCATTGCCAAGCTCGGCGAGAAGATCGATGACCAGCTGGTCAACAGACCCGAATTTCACTATTCCGATAAACCTTGGAAACAATGGACAGTGAAAACTAGGTTCAGTCGATTCACAGGACCACTTTCTCGAGAGAAATTCCGATGTTGTTGCCCAGGTAACAGAACTCCGATACACACATCCATATTAAAATGCCTAGTATTGTTGCAATGGGCAGTGATGGTGGCTAGAAGAGCGCAGTGATTCACGCTTCTAGCACTATTTGAAAACTGTTCGTTCTCCGTTTCATCAAGGCGATAGACCGAACAACTTGTATTATTGATGTCCACTCGCTGATTTCTAATATGGTATGCTAGTGTAACGGTGCATATTACTGAAGGACGTGTAAGTAGTCTGATGTCGAAGTTGTGACCCGCATCCGATGAAAGGTGAAGAGAACTACAGCTCCCGGTGGATGAAATAGCTGACGGCATAAGAGTGTGTTTGAATCATGATCGGCTTGTTCTTGACTCAACTGTTTACTCACATGAACAAGGCCTTGCAATGGGATCTCCAATAGCCCCAGTTTTAGTCAATATTTACGTGGAGGACTTCGAACAAATAGCCTTGGCCGGATATCACTGTCCACCCAAAGTTTATTGGAGTTATGCCGACAACACGTTTGTTGTAATCAAACGAGATAACGTGAACAACTTCCACGACTATCTCAATAGTTTAAACCCACACATTAAGTTTAGCATGGAAATAGAGTCCACCTCGGGTACATTACCATTTCTGGACTGGAAAACACATAAGGTTGGTGGGAAATTGAAAACGACTATCTACCAGAAACCAACATACACAGGAACCGTCTTAAGCTACTCACCAGCACACCCAAAGTCCGTGTACTCGATGTTTCGTCGAGTCAGAGCGCTATGCACAGAAGAGATCGACCGAACGGCAGCTCAGATCGCCATTGCCAACAAACTTCAAGAAATAGGATACCCAGTGATTTTGTTTAGGCATCAACCAAGAAAGATATTGGCCCAAGTATCTAGACCCAGTAAGGAATGGATTGGCACAGCAGTCATTCCATATAAAGCAGGAACATC